TGAACCAGTTTTTGTCTGAGCGTGTTGCTGGGTCTGAAATGCACCGGGATGTCATGCTGGAGAAAACTCTCCTGAGTTTTTCTGATACACCGGCTACATAGGGGATGACAATGTTGTTGCGTCTGTCCTATCCTGGTGTCGGATCTTTTTTTTTGTGCCTTTTTGCTGACTTTATAAACACCCAATTAGCATAACTTATTTGCTGTTGTCTGTCTGTCCACCTACAGGTACAAAGAAAACATATTCACTCTAAATAGGCTATTTATGCATTTAATCATTCAGGTATTCATTACCATCCTTACCTGTATGAGATAGGTGGAGTGAGACAAGATGAAAATATAAAACAAATATTTTGTGTCTCTGTCTTAGGAAGCAGCCTTACTATGATGTGGATAGCTAACAAATAGAAAGCATCAAGTTCTGCCTTTGGGCCTCATGGAAAAAATATAATTGTTACTTATATAAAAAATATGTGTTCAGATTACCCAATGCAATAGTCCTGTTGTTCTAAGACTGTTCTAATTAAAATATGAGCTCGAATTTGTTGAAGGTGATCCAGCTGAAAAACTTTTCCTGAAAACATTTAAAAGCAGGGATACAGTGGCAAGATGTATTTAAAATCTAATGAAATACAGGATTCAGTTGTTGAACACAAGATTTGAGTAACTAATCTCATATATTTAATTGAAAAAAGAGACTAGTTATTGTTTTCGACTATGAAGATGAAGAATGCTTTTTTAAAATTTGCGAACTCTATTCAGAGCAGACTTGCAAACTTGCACAACACCACAGCTGTTTTACTTTGAAAGAATGTGGGAAACAACACAAACAACTGTGTTGAAACATGAAGAATATTAGTCTATAAAATTGGTTTTAGTAAATTGTGTCATTCAAGGTCCCAGTTGGTTATTTCTTTGTAATGTTTGTCAAGAAAGTCTATAAAAAAACTGTATTTGTTTTGAATCAAATTCATTATTAAAAAGTTGGTTTCAGGAGAAGCAACCAAAACACTACAGATATACATAACACTTTGTCAAAGGGCTGTAAATTAGATTTTGGTCTAAAATTGTTTTAAAATGATGCCAAGGATAATTCAATAATCTTAATTCAGCTCAGCACTGAAAGATGATGATGATGGAAACTATTTCAGGCGTGTTATCAATAACAATCTGAGTTTCTCAGACAGCTACAACAAAAAGAAAATATGAAACCCGCATGGACTGTTCTTGTACTTTGGCATGTAACAGCAAGACTAAGGTTTGATAAAGAACTTGAAAAGAAACCATATGAATACTGTAATCAAGAGAGATTTGCTTAGCTTCAGTAGGTTCCAGCATATTTGGTATTAACTCCTCCAGATATTGAATCTAGGAGGTGGCAGCGAGTTTATAACTAGCTGCCTGAATACAACAAGCGCACTGTAATTACAAGTATACCAAAATAAATACTGACGACTGCCAGTAACTTCCAGTTTTGAGTAGGTGGGGTTAAGAGGGAAATTCTAGTATGGCTTCAATCAACAGGACACCGTGAAAAATCACTAAAGTTTCTAAAAAAAAAGAAAAAGAGAACTATAATGTGAATTGTGTGACTTGAACACACATTCACATGTTAGCAGGTAGCTCACCTGTGTGTTAACGTCTGGGCGGTGCTTCTCTGCTATATAACAGGTGGTTTTGTCTTTCTTTTTCATTCACTCCTTTGTCTGAAGCAACAAGCTTTCAGAGCATTTTAAGCTGGTTTTCAATCGAGATTTCAAAAAACTAAAAGGTAAGCTGCTTGTCTTGTTCTGCTCATACACAGTGATGACTTTATTACATTTGTTGGTACTTTTGTGGGTGGTTTGATTGGCTGTTTTCAGCTCATATCAGACAGCACATGTGCCCTGCTTCAAGCTGCAGTTGTGATAAAGCATTGCTTTAATTTTTAGGTAGACTGCCTCTGACTGTGCTTCACTGAGTTTGTCATATTTGGTGAAAACAAAATTCCAGGTTTGTACCTGCCTTGGACTTTTGTACTACACCCATTCAAGCAGAGGCGCGTCTAAAGTGTGGGCTGAGAATCCTGTATTTCCTTAAAGTGAATTCAAAAACTGACAATAAAAGACAAAACCTGAAATGCAAAGGAAGAAACACTTTTACAGTCACAGTTTTAAACTGTGATGATTTGACCCATAGATTTCTAAAGCTAAGTCTGCAACATCTCACTTTATGACACTTATTGTCTGTAGTGTGTACGTGTTTCTATGTGTCGCTATTCACTACTCTAACAATTTTCACAAGACCCCCAATTCTACTAGCTAACATGTGATCCAAGATTATGACAGGGTTATTCCTATTTCACTCACTTCAACGTAGAAATGTTAAGTTTTCTACAATTTTTATTTATTTCACAAGTGGGCTTATTAAAGTATTAGGAACAATATCTTGGTCCAGCTCAGGATATTATGCTATTACAACTTGTCCAAGTCTCCATTTCTTCAATTTTAATTTTGAAAAAAATGAATCAATACAAACAACAGCGTGGACAGGACGTAACAGGGGTGACAACACAACAGGGAAAGTTTGCTCCTTCAACCACACATTCATCTCCCAATTGTTAGTAAAATACTAGCAAACTTTAGACAGACGTGTAATGAAATGGCACATTATGAAAATAAAGAAAATCATGAGCAGGAATAGTTCCAGATAAATATAACATGGGCAATCGTGGCTCAAGAGTTGGGAGTTCGCCTTGAAATCGGAAGGTTGCCGGTTAAAGCCCCTGCTTGGACAGTCTTGGTCGTTGTGTCCTTGGGCAAGACACTTCACCCGTTACCTACTGGTGGTGGTCCCCATAAGGAGAATCATGTGCTATCGGCTGTTTAAATGACTCGGGTAAAGTTTGTAGCATGCATGCTAGTTGTTTTTGTCTGCTTCCACTTGTCTTTGCACTAGGATGATGTCGGCGTAAATGTGCAGTCATATTCGTTGTGTTCCCATTAGTGCTGTCAGCTTTAAACTCGTTAAAATGACATTAACGCCATAACGCGGCAAATCTCTGTTAACGAGTTACCGCGGATCGCCCCGTGCGTGGGGCTGGAGGGCGTCAACACGTTAACAAGCTAACTGCGCTAACGCACTAGTTCCCACAAATTGAGCATTGCGTGGCA